GTTTCTCTTCTTTGTCTTTTACTTTTCCTTAAAATCAAATCCTCATTTAAATTTTGTTCAAACTTTGAATTCTCAACAGGTTTAGAAACATGCTCAATTTTCAAGGGAAAAATATGTTTAAAAAATTCAACATCCTTAGTCTCTACAATTGTGTTTTGGTCTAAAACATCACTTTTCAAAACTAAAAAGCGATAAGTTGCACTTTGTTCAGCATACCAATAAATATACAATTAGAAGTTTTTGAACCAATTTTTTTCTTTTTAAGATCAGGTAATAAAACTTTTGCAAGACACCCCCACACTTTCAAATATTTTAAATTCGGGATAAACCCTTTCCATAACTCATAAGGTGTTTTCTTTATTTTCTTATGAGGTATCCTATTTTGTGAAAAACATGTAGATAAAATAAATTCATCCCACAAGTTATCAGGTACAAAAGAACTCACAAACAGAGCATTCATCATTTCTTTTAATGTTCTATTTTTTTTCTTTCTGTAACTCCATTAGATTCGGAGAATGAAGAGGTGTTTTCTCATGAATAATGCCTTCCTTTTTACAAAAATCATTTAAAAAAACAAATTCTCTACCTCTATCAGATCTAACCCTTTTAATATTTTTATTTAACTGATTATCAACTTCTGCTTTGTATAAAATAAATTTTTCAAAAACCTCATCTTTATTTCTTAACAAGTATACCTTAGTATATCTTGAAAAATCATCAATAAAAATGATATAATATTTTTTACCACCTCTACTCATGGTTTGTTTTAAATCACCTAAATCAGTGTGAATTAAATACAGTAATTTAGATTCTCTTTGACTAAAAAAATGAGGTTTTTTACTTTTTTTAATTTTTGCACACACTTCACATTTTCCAAAATTATTGTTTTTAATTTCAGAAAGCAGCCCAAGTTGTCATATCCTATTTATATAACCTTTACTAGTGTGACCTAGTCTAGCATGCCATAAAATAAAGGAATCAATTATATAGATAGGCATATGCTCAGAAGATGCAATCTTATTCATTTCATCAACATTCAGAATAAATAGTCCCTAATTACAATACTCTTTCCTCACATTGTATTTGTCATTACAATCTTGTTAGATTCAAATGACACTTTAACCCCAACTTTCGCTAATAGAACAACTGAAACTAAGTTTGCTCTAACTTCAGGCACATACAGAATATCGTTCAAAGCTAGAGTCTTTCCTAATGTGAGCTTTAAGATCACTTTTTCTTTTCCTTAAACTTTGGCAATTCAAGAATTAGAAAAGTAAACACGGTCTTCCCCTTCCTTTACAGGATCATAAGAGGTAAACATCTCCCAATCAGCACATATGTGCCTGGTAGCCCCAGAGTCTACCACTGATTTCTTCATATCAAAAATCAAGAACTTGTGATACCACTACAGCAATGATGTCATCATCACTGTCATCATCTCATTGCACCAAATTTACATTTGGCTTCTGAGGCTAATCACGGTTTGCTCTCTTCTTACACTGTGCTACATAGCATCCTAGTTTTACCACAGACAAAACAGTCTCCTTTTTTCTTGAAAGAGGGGTTAGAAGCATTGGGTTTGTAATCATATTTTCTGTTCTTTTTGTCTTTGGTTTTAGGGTCATACCTCTTATTGTGAGGCTTTGTCTCCACCATATTGGCTTTAGATGTCATCTCTCTGGTTCGAGCTACACGTATTGCTTTACGATTGGTGTCCTTGATGATGATGTAAGTAATTAGGTTAGTCAAGGATAACTGCTTCTATTTATGTTTCAGTTGTTATTTGTAATCATTCCACTATTCTGGCAGCTTCTCAATTAAGATTTCAGCAACAAACTTGTTTGGGAGGTTGATATTTTTAGCACAAAGCTCCTCCAGTAGCTTGTAATATTCATTGATTTTCTCCTTCATATCCTTGTTCTTAGTCATCTCCTATTTATAGTAATTTCTGACAACAAACTTTTGTTTATCGACATCCTCAATAGTGTATTTTGTCACTAGGGATCCCATATCTTGTAGGCTTCCTTATAGACATAGTAGACATCGAACAAATCATTAGACAAAGTACTAATGATCGTGTGTCGACATACCTTGTTTGTATGAGTCTAGGCAACTCTCTGGGCTTGGTCAACATCAGTAGGTGGCTCAAATTGAGTAAGAGTAGTAGCTATACCATGCATATCAAGAATGGTGAAAACTCGTTCCTGCCAATGCTTAAAGTTCTTGTCGTCAAAGACCTCTATCTTCGATATGTCTAGGATTGGCCTTGGCAGTGGGACAACAACAGCCGTAGGGATGAAGTGAACTCCACCAAAGTTACTAGGTACATCATTGAGGATGACATTCTCACCACTGTTAGATGCCATTCGGTTCGGATAGTTCTTAAGATTGTTGGTTGTATGGACATAAACAGTAAGCTGCTTGAGTTATGCCCAGAAGGACACTGTCCTTAAGAACTATTTCAGCACACCGGGACAATGGATCAACAGTTCTCTAGGATTAAACAAGTACTTCCTACACAATATAAGGGCACAGAATAGCAACACTAACAGAAAAGCTCAAATGAAGAAGAGAAGTCGGAGGAGGAGGAGAATGCCTCAAAAGCTTAATAGGCTAGCGAGTTGTTTAGTTCGAATGCATGCCTATATATAAGCCAGATCTTGGACTCGAACGTTGGGCATTCAACTACCGGAGTAAATGCTCGATTACACACTCATAAAGTAGCATAATACCTCGGTTACACAAATATAAAAACATGTTTAAGCATTTGTCTAGAAACGTTAGGGGAACAAATATATTTAGGAATTTAATCATCTGTTTTAGAATCTGGTTAATGGCCTAAAAATGTTCATGGTTTGATTTCAAACTCCTAATAACCAAAAAATGATATTTTCCTGTAAGCTCATGTAAATAAATAATTATTTATTTTTGTAAAATTAATCCAATAAAAGAAACCTAGTACCTCTTAAATTAGCACATAGGGGGCAAATCGATTAATTTTAATTGCAATTGCCCTGAATTATTTGATGATATTTTATTTTCATAAATATTAACTTAGTTAATTAGTAAATATTATATTTATAGCTATTAAAATTTTCTTAATTAATATTCCCTCTATTTTAAATTATAGAACACTTTTGAAGGAGATTTTATGTCCCAAAATATAAGACACTTTGTGTAGATTAAGGTTTTATTAAATGCAACAATTTTAATATTATTCTTTCTCTCTCTATAATTAATTTTTGTCCCTTTTTTATTCAACATAGTAAATGATAGGTATTTTTGAAATTTTATATTTTTATTTTGGAAAGATAAAGTTGTTAAATGTATTTAATGAGGTTTATTAATATGTGAGATTTTATCTAAAAGTGTCCTATAATTTAAAACGAAGGAAGTAATTCTTAATTAAATACTTATAAACTAAAAGGTGGTGTTTCCACAATCAGAAAAGGCAACCTCTCTTCTTTTAACTACTAAAAATAATATATATTACATATTAAAACTAATTAAATAATTATAATAAAATGCTAATTTAATATGATACAAAAAAATACATAATTAATAACAAAGGATAAAGAAGGATTTTACCCAAAAAAAGAAAAGGATGGAAGTGGAGTTTTCAAGCTTCGAAAATGCCACTTCTTTGCTTTATAAAATAAAAACTTAACCTGATAAAACAAAATAATTATTTAATAAAAAAAGTAGAGATGTGAAATTTCCAAACTTAAGCAATGCCACTTCTCTGCTTTTAATTATTAAATTAGAACATATATTAATTATTAATGGTAATTAAATAATTATGATAAAATAATTATTTAATTTGATTAAATGAAATACTTAATAACAAAGTAGAGATGCAGCACAAAGTAGAGATGCGGCATTTCCAAACTAAGGAAACACCATCTCTTGACTTTATGAAATAAATACTTAATCTAATAAAAAATACTTAATTAATAAAAACTAGAGAGGTGGTGTTTTTAAGCTCAGGAATTGCCACATCTGTCCTTTTAATTATTAAATAATATTATATATTAATTATTAATACTAATTAAATAATTGTATTAAAAATACTAATTTAATCTTATAAAAGAAAATACTTAATTAATAAGAAAGAAGAGAAGTGATGTTTTCTAGCTCAGGAGACACTGCCTCTCTACTTCTAATTATTAAATAATAATATATATGAATTATTAATATTTATTAGATTTTTATGATAAAATAATTATTCAATCTATAAATCAAAATACTTAATTAATAACAGAGTAGAGAGATGTTGTTTTATTACTGAAATGCCACTTAATTGTTAAATAACAAAAAGCTATGGCATTTCATGTAAAAAATGTCACATCTTGTTATTTTACTAAACTTGTAAATGAAAGAATAATTTATAAGTGGTGGTGTTTAATATAAGATACACCACCTAAGATCTATAGCTTTAATATTAATAGCATTTTAATTTTTATTGCTATAAAATGCATGCTATTAAATTTTATTTCTATAATGGTGTATCATAAAAATTAATATACATGTATCATTAGTATTAGTTACTTATGTCAATCAATATGATTGGATGAAGCATGAAGGCAAAACATTCATTACTTGGAAAACTTCCATATTTAAATAAAGAAAAATTACATAGTGGATTATTGTATCAACCAATAAGCTTAAAAATCAACACTGACATGCCAGACATGAAAGGGGGTAAACCTATAAACCTGAAAAAGTGCTTTGTTGTTATGATCATCTCTATAGCTTCATGAGAATTACTCTGTTGCAAGATGAAACGTTCATTATAAAAACACCTTCAACTTCAAACAAGAATAATAAAAGTACTTCATTTTATTACAAATAAATTTTACACATATTAAAGTGGCAATTGGATTAATTTTTGTTTAAAAAAAAAAGAGGACAATACCTCCAAATTTTATTAATGAACCCTCATTTGTGGCGGAGGAATACCATAGTTACACTGAAGATTTGAACCAAACCAGCATAAGAAAAATACAAAAACTAGAACCTATATTATTACATGACAAACATATGACCACTAGTAATGACTGTTATTGAAGATACAAGTTAAACAATCTTACCATTTTAAGTTCCGCAACAAATGGAAAAGCTTTATTATTACAAAAGACCAAAGTTATTAAATCAAATACATCAATGGAAAGGCACTAAAAGAGATTTCTAGCCGCAATGTTTAGTTGAAATTGGCTACACAAAACCGACCATCTATGATTGGCTTGAAGCAATTGTTGCTGAGCTTTTCGTTGATCTTCTGTCATTTCTGACCTTTCTTTTCTTACATTTTCAAACTTTTTATTGAGCTCAGTCATTTTTGTAGAACATTTCTTCATTTTCACTTGAAGAGACGATTGTTCTGCCTCACAATCTTCTATCTCTCTAACCAACACAGAGATTTGTTCCTTTAAATTGACTTCCTTATCTTGAGCTTCATTCAAAAGCCTGGAAAATTTATTCAATGCAACAAATGCTGGCTTGAAAGAAAGTATGATGCCTGCGAAATCTCGGTGCAATGACTGTATTGCATCTTTCAGTCCATGGGATAAAACTCCATCTTCGGAAGAAAGATGAAACAAGAAGTTAAGAGCATTATGAAGGTGAAGACTATTGGAATCTGAAGTAACTATCTCCTTAAGAGGCATCTTCAAACAAGCTTCCAGATCCACCAAGGCCTTTGCCAATAGCTGATCATCCTCAATGTCTTGAAGCTCTATTATGGGCTTTGCTTGATTGTCTTTATCAATGTCCATCTCAGTTCCTTTGAACTTGATCTGATTCTAAAGGAAAATATAACACTTGAAGAAGCAAAATGCTTATGCAATTGAAACATATAAAAAAGTAATAAAACCTTTAGCTTACATGTGAAAATGCTTCAGGCAGAGAAGTAGAACCTTCAATCCTTCCTTTATCATCCTGCACAAAGCAAAAGGCATGTGAGTTTAGTAATACAGTTTTTGAATATAGTTTGAAAGAGCTACATCTATATTTTTCTTTGATATATTATCCCCTTGAACACTTTGATATGCTTGCTCTTCGACACTTTGTAGTAGAGAAAAGTAAGAACAAGTTATTGCATATGGCATTTATGTAGATAATCAGACTAGATACATAAAGCATTACTTTTACTCTGTCATGAATTTCATTATTACTATTTTGAGTTTCTCCAAGCATTACTACTTGTAGATTTTACGTAGAGAAATCACTAAAGGAGTATTTGGCAACAAATCAACAACTAATTCAAAATTTGTTCATGAAGATGGCATTATAGCTGTTTTGAAACTAAGCATTGTTTCTTTGACACTTTAACCAGCAACATATTTGAAAAGGTAATAGAATTATGTCAATTTATAGTAGAAGAAAAACATGGGTACAAGACTAAGGTCTTCATATTAAAGATGCATACCTTTGTCAGATTTTGTGAAGCAATGGATGGCACAGATTGGTTAGTTCTAACCTCTGCAGAAAGATGATCAATTTCTGATGCTGCTTGGACTTCAGTATCTCTGCTATGAATTTATTCTATCTTTTCTCTGTAACATTCTTTTCTAGATTCACTATTATGATCTAATGCAGATTGGACTATTTGATGAGCATCCACGTCAATGTAGTTATGTTGAAATTGGCTACACAGGATAGACCATTTACGATAAACCTCAAATAATTGCTGCCGAGCTTTCCTTTGATCTTTCATCATTTAAGACTTTTGCTTTCTCATACTCTCACACTCTTTCTTGAACTCCCTGATTTCAACAACACATTTCTCTTTTTTCTCCTGAAGAGATGATGTCTTGGCCTCATCATATTGCATTTCTTTCTCCAACTTAGAGATATGTTCTTTGAACATGACTTCCTTCTCTTGAGCTTCATCTATAAACTTGGGAAATTTCTTGACAGTAGCTAATGCGACCTTGTAAGAATGTAGAATGCTTGGAAATTCTTGGAGCAAAGACTCTGTTATAGCTTTAAGTTTAAGAGATAAGGGTCCCTCTTCAAATGAAAGGCAAGATAAAAATTTAAAAGCTGTAAGAAGACGAAGGCAAATGGGCTCTGAGTTTGCTATGTCCTTGAGAGGCATCTTCAAACGGACTTCCAAATCTGCAAGAGCATTCACTACAGATTCATCTTTGGTGGTAAAAACAACAGGAACTGATGCTGTTGCTAATTGCTCAGCATGATCACCAAAGCCTTGAAGATTTATTATAGGACTGGTCTTTATCTCTTTCTCAGTTCGATTGACCTTGATTTCCTTATGAGTCAAAAAATGCATATAAATATAGATCAGTCACAAGTTGTACTGGCAAAAGTAAAGCATTAGATTTTTTCTAGTTACTTATCAGAAAAAATATGTAAAAAATAACCTGTAACAGTACTTACACCGATATAGAAGAATTTAATTCATTATGTTGAAAACAAAGTTATAAGATTGTTAATATTAATCACTTAAAATTAATGCACAAATTATATAATCTCATAAGTGGGACATCTAAAAGGTTGCTATAACTAGATACCAGTTTTAGGCAGGGGAAAAAAAAAAGGCTTACATGGGGCAATGCTTTAGGAAGAAAAGATGTCGAGGAGCCTTGGAGTGAGCTGGCCGGCTGTAAACGAATTGATGATGTAACTATGTTGGCATTTTCTATTGTTGAACCTTCCATTCTCCCATTAATACCCTGCATAGCACCAAGTTATATGTTTCAATTTTATTATTTGGATCAATTGATTGAGCTCCTTTTACAATGCTCCTTTGACACACACACACACACACACACAATATGTGCATAGGTATTATATTCATAATCCTGTGAGTAGCATATAGTTTTACTTCAATTTCTTTTTTCATCTTTGATGAAGAGAATATGAAACAAACTGATAGGTTACAAGAAAACGTTATACCTTCAGTTTGTCAGCTCAACTTTTTTTGTATCAACAAATAGTGTGGTTTATCTTTATTTGCCTCTAAATAAAATAAGAAAAAAAATTGGAAAAAAAATCATTTGTCTTCATTTATAGCATAAAAAATGAAGCAACAATATGTACTGTTGATATCATTCCAAATATCTCTAAACTAGGCATTGCTTCTTCAGACTCTTGAGAAACATCAAATTGCCAAAAGAAATAATTAAATAATGTCTCAAACATAGAGAATATGTGAAAGACATAGGCTAATGAAATTACATATACCTTTTTCAGCTCTTCCTTGGTAGTATCAACAATAGGATTGGTTTCAGTACCTATTTTTGGATTCTTATCTCGTTGGTTGACCTTGGTTTTGTCCATAACAAAGTAAACAGAATAATTAGGAGAAGAGAGAATGGCCTTAAGGTATACCTATAAATTATTACATCAATGAAACAATTCATAAGCCAAAAGGACAATTGGCATTAAGGTATACCTTTATCTGTTCATCTCTTTCGGTATCAACAATCGGAGCACATGGTGCTGGAAATCCACCGCCATCATCTTCAATATCTGTCTCAGTTTTCTTAATCCTCACGTTCTTCCAAATAAAATAAGAAGATGAATTAAAAATGAACATTAAGTTCAGTTATAGCAGCAAACATGAAGCAAAAACATCTGCTTTTCGTCTTTTGATTGGATGGTAAGTTAATTATATGTAATTTAAGTTACTTATCAATAACGACGAAGTCATAGAAGTTCAAACAAGTGTTCATAGAATAAACTCCATTGGCATAGCTGCTATATTGTAGAGGAAAAGGAGAATTCCTTTCAGAAATTTAGCAATATTAGTCATTAGAAAATGCTCCTACATATATATTAAAAGTAGCTTGGTACCCTTACAGTTTCATGAGAAATAGTAGAAGAATTAGTTGGCAAATGCTCAGCGATAAATTTGAGATTTGTTGATGTTGGTGTGAGGATCTCCATACCAGGCATTGTCTTATTCTGACTCTGCAAAATCCAAAAATAATGTCATAACTCATTAGTAGAAGAAAGACATATTGGGAACTAGAGTGTTATTTTAGGATCAAAAATATATGTTTCAATCCCAAATATATATATATATATATATATATATCTGCTTTGTCAGCTCATCATTTTTTGTATCAACAATAGGAACACATGATATTGCTAATTCAACACAACCATCTTTATCTTCAAAGTCCTGAATCATAGAAGCTGAAACAAAGACATGAAATTAACTCATATATATTCTATCTATATGATCTATATTAACAACAATACCCTCAATTTCAACTTTATGGAATGAAAACAAACAACCAGCTGGTACAAGGACTCGGAACAAGCTCCCAGTCATAGCTATATATGATATAGTATTGGAAAGAAGAGTATAATATATTTTTTTCCAAGTGTTCATAATAGATTACATATATACTTAGAAAGCTTACATGTGAAAGATCTATAGGAAGAGAAGCAACTGATGAACTTTTGAAAGAGCTTGTTGGGTCAGAATGAGTTGACGGTGCATTTATTGTCACATTTTTTGACGTAGAACTTTCATCAAAGCTACCTTCAACTCTCTGTACATTATCAGAAGATATGTAACTTTTTAAGTCAGGCATATATTCCGTATGTGTACCATGGCAGAGCTGTTATTACCTTTCTATCTATTAAGTTTGTATCTTTTGACTCTTCCAACTTCTATATGATAGAGAAATAAGTTGTTGTCATTAGCATCATGGGCATGATATGTAATAAGCAATACTTCACATGATGGATGGTTCCTCTAATATATTCATACCTCTTCTGATTTCTTCTCATTATTCTGAGCACCAAAAGCAATATGTTCACTTCTTGATGCTGATTCAACTTCACTTTCTTTGCTATCAATTTGTTCCGTCGTTTCTCCTACACAATCTTCATTGGATTGGATAATATCTCTTAAATGATCATGAAAACGCCACCTGCCTTCCCAATAATCTATATGATTCAAAAAGAATTTGTTGAAAATTCTAGCAACGGTGTGAAAACAAGATGCATCCATGTATGACCAAATTATCAAACGTTTATATATTATAAATATGGAATACTTCATATATAGATGTTCACATATCATATAAATAAGAGGAACACTTGTGTGTGTGTGTGTGAGTGAGTGAACGAGTGAGGTTAAGTATATAATTTTCTCTATATATTATGTATTAAATGCTGGAAGAATTCAAGTACACAATTAATTAACTTACCAAACAATTAATGCTAAAATGTTTTTAGGTACATATTAAATTTATGAAATCTCACCTCATCCTTCTTCATGGGGCTATCCTCAAAAACCATTTTATTTTTATATATTGCCCAAAAAACCTTAAAAAATAAAATGTAGGAAGTAGGAAAAGACAAACAAGACTTTAATTATTTTAACACTAGATTCACCTTAGCAAACAATGAAACACATTAAAAATCATAACAAATACTAATGCACACCAAAACGAGGTGAATATATTGGTGCTAGAGGAATCAAAATACAAGTTATTTCCCCTAAATAGATAAATCTTGGTGATATATACTAGTTATTGAGGTTACCTTTTTCATTATCCAATATTTGTACCAATTGCTGTAGATTAACGGTGGAAGTAAGAGGCAGTTTTGGGCATTGTTGAACAAGAAGGTATCTCACACTCTGGAAATCAATATGTTGGCCCTGATAGGGAGAGAGTGTTGGAAGTTTCCAAAGTAATACATATTCCACATTTGGAATCATATCCCAAGGCACTTGCTCTAGCTGGGATGCTTCTTCTATGAGAAGAGCCCTTAGCTTGGGGAGAACCAAACAACTAGAGAAAGGGAATACACGTTTCAACTTATGGCACTGTCTGATAATAATCATGGTCAGATTTGGGAAGACAAGTTGATAAGGATTTGACACATCGTCATTTTCTTCCATGATTCCCTCTAGTTCATTACACCTTACGATGTTCAATCTCTTCAACTTTGGTAGGCTTGTCAAGATAGATGCAGGGAGGATAACTCTCAAATTTTCACATCTTTCTATATCTAGACGGACAATATTTTGAAGGAGTAAACTATTTTTGGGACCCCTCCATATGTGCCTCAACTTTAGTAGATCCTCTAATTCTATTCTTCGTAAGCTTGTGTTCACTGGTTGTCTATTGTTCGGAAGCCTTTCTCCATCAAAAAGAATTTCCATTTCATTATTACTTCCCACATAAACTTTAGCTAAAGTTACGAGTGGAGTCAATAGGTCCTGCAAAAGCACACATGTGAGTGCAGTAAAAAATGACATAAGCGAGCGACCGGAAAAAAAATCTTGCCTTCAACAATGATTTAATTGATTTCATTTTGCAATCAAAATATAAATATTACTTTGGACACGCGCTTACCTTTATCACTCCAATGACTTCCTAATAATAAACGCATAAACAAAGAAAAAAGAAACAGAGAAAGTATCATTAGATTACAATAGTACCTCTGAAGCTGTGTGATCACCTTTTCTTAATCCATATATGCCAATCCAGCGATTGATGGACTTGATCTTTAATTGTGGAACATTTCGCACTGTCAAATCTTTCAAAGATGGCCATTTTAAATGATAATTTTCCTGACAAATGCTTACCATGTTTGGCAAGTTTTCGAGAATGAGAGTATTTAAAGCCAAAAATTGGACGTTATGAAACTTGTCTTGATCTAGTTCTTCATAAATGGATGGGCTAAACAAGCTCTTCAATTTATTAGCTTCTGCGATAGATAAACATTCCAATTGTGCAAGGCTATGAGCATAAGAGACAGGCATTAAGAATTCTAGCTGACCACAATCCAAGATCCTTAGTGTTTTTAATTTGGAAAAAGCAAATCTGACACTCCTTTGATCTCCACTACCATTTGCAACTATTTCCTTCACTTCATCTACTATTATGTGCTCGAGTAAATCACAACTATGTATCTTTAAGAACTCTAACTTTGCAAAAAGGCCTGAAGGAAGCTGGTCACGGTACAAAGTTCTCAAATTCTTCAACCCTTTAATTGTTAGTTTAGTCAAATTGGAGATGATTCCCATTTGACTCCAATGATTTGATATGTCAATCACGCATTCTATAGTGTCTGAATGAAGGATTGTAAGTTGTGTCAAAGCATCAAAATTCCCTCCTATTGTTCGAAGCGTGTGAGGAATTATATTTTTACAACTTCTATGAATTCCCCTCAAATAAAGAACCTCCGCTCTCTGCATCAAATCCTTAATTGTTGCATTTGACATGCATTTCTCAACATCTTTCACATATAAACTTTTTGTAATGGGAAACAGTGGTCGCTCAAAATCCGAACCATCATCCCCTAAATCTATACAATAGCTCTCCAATGTCGGGGTAGCTTTGATTTTCTCAAAGAATTCAGCACCATCTTTACTATGGTCCTTAGATTCTCCAACTATGTTTCCAGAAAAATAAAGAACTTCTAATTTGGAACATCTTCCCATTACTTCATAAGGATTTCTTTGAATCTCGCAACACATTATATCTAATAATCTCAAATTTTTCTGCTGTGTAATGAGTTTTGGCAATTCATCGAAGGAGCATCTCCATAATTTAAGAGACTCAAGTCTTTTTAGGCTTCCAATAAAAGAGATATCGCCTAATATCCATCCTTTTAGGGATAGATAACGGAGGTTATTGATAAGATGGAATGAAATAGGCAATTGCAGATCATGTTGTTCAAAAGTATGATTACTTAACATAAAAACTTTAAGCATCTCCATACCTTTAAAAATATCATTTGGTACATCCAAACCATGCTTGGGCTTTATTGATACATGAAGAAACTCAAGTTTAGGGCAATCCAACTTATATGGAAATTCCTCAACTTCATCAATCCATAAATATCTTAATTTGTTCTCCTTTTTTATCACATCCTCTTTTAATTGCCCCTCTACAAATTTATTCTCTTTCTTTGCTATCCACAGGCCTACATCTTGAACCAAATCATGCATTTTGACACAACCACTCACTCCATCTAATAGCAGACAAGAATCAATTAGCTTATTTTTGCCTTTAATAAGCAATTGGTTCCTTGCCCTTTGGTATGAGTGAACTTTAACAAAACCTAGCGCTACTCCAATGATTGTTAATTCATCAATTGGAATTTCATAATCTTCAGGAAATATAGAGCACAACAAGAAGAGTGATTTGGCTTCTTTATTCTCTAGCTTATCGTAGCTTAACCGAAGACAAGTGTAAGGGTTTCTCCAATCTTCTTCAATATCAACTGGACTTGAATCTCGCAAGGTTTTTAATGCTTCTTCCCACTCAACTTGAGGTTTTTCTTTCAAAGTACTAGCTATAGCCGCAATTGCAACAGGTAAACCACCACATTTTTTTGTAATTTCTTGCGCCAAACCTTTGATGGAATCTGAGTTATCATCAAATGCCCCTACATGTTTTTGAAAGAGGCCCCACGCTTCATCCTCTTTTAATCCTTGCAAGGGAATCATTCTTTTGCAATTCATTCGTCTACATACATCAAGCTTTCTTGTTGTTATAACAACGGTTCAATTCTTTTCATTTTCAACAATAGGAATCCCTATCTTCTCAAACTCAAGCGTCTTCTATACATCATCAAAAATAATTAGAAACTTTTCTCTACTAGACAACCTCATTGACAAGCGTCTAGCTCTACCCAATTCCCCCTCCTCTTCCAATTTCATATTATCAAGGTGGCTTGCTATTTCACCTTGAATTTTTCTAATGTCAATAGTGTTAGACACAACAACAAAAATGACTTTATCAAAAAACTGCTCCGCTTCTTTACCCACTTCTTTTACCATGGTGGTTTTGCCAAATCCCCCCATGCCATACAATACAATCATGTGAACTTTTTCATCTTTTATTGCCTCTATAAGTCCGTCATATGCTGCTTGTCTACTCTCAAAGCGCACAAAACCTTCAGAAGGAAAGTAGTCCATGCCTACCAGTGTAGCAAGTCGAGAAAACTGTGTGAACTTTTTAATTTTATTAATGTGTTGCATAATTTCATTGGTCTTCTCTTCAAGCCGCTTCACCAAACTGTAACGCCTAATCAAGTTAGGGCAATACTTAAAACAATATGTCTTGTTTTTGTTCATTTTTTTTTCTTGCAGCACCGCCACTTCTTGCATTAGAGAGTCTGCTTCATCCAACCATGTCTCAACTTCACGAACAACCTTCTCAGTTTTTCTCTTTGCCTCTTTAGCTAGATCAAGAACACCTCCAATTTTGGATTTCAAATCATGTTGTTTTGTTTCAAGCTCTTTGACATACTTGTTGAAGCAAAAAGAATAAGAAGCTTCACATATTGTCACATCCACTAACTTACTCAAAACATAACTCGCACTAGAGACAACAATGTCCATGTCCTCTGAAAAGTGCAGTACATATGAAATAATGATTATTTTAAAATGCCTCTAAAGATAAATTTTTAGTATTTGACTTAATTGAACATAACATAAGCATGTAGAATTGTATATAGAAAAATTTATAAGAAAATAATTAGGACTTATGTGTAATAACCCCAAAAAAATTTAAAATAAATAAATAAATATATAGGTTAACTGTGTGTTTATATTAGTTTTTGGAATAAATATAGCAAGTTAGAGACTTGGTCTAGTGGCAGTTGAGTAATCTTTCATACATGATGTCCTAAGTTCGAATTTGGAAGAGATCAAAAGAAGAGTTAAATTTTTCTTTTTTTGGCTGTGCAAAATTACCAAACTGCCCTTAGTTCCATCAAATATTTTAACTCTTCCTTCTTCTTTTCTTGGTCATTCTAGAGCAGAAGGAGATCTCAGGATTGGACGGATTTTGCTCAGCCTCTCGTAGGTCATTGCTTTCTTCCCTTTCAACCGTAGCTAGCGCCGCATTCGCATAGCTCATCATCGTCGGTGTGCTTGTGGCTGGTCTATTCATTTCAGTTAGAGTTCTCCCTTGTTTCTGCGTCATTCTCCCTTGTACAAGCTCAACATTTCACTGGGTTAAGTTCGTTGGAAATGTGTGATGCTGGTCTTGAGCTGAGGCGACGCTGATTCTGGCTTTTCCCTTTCTCTTGAATGGTGCTACGTCTTCCTCTATTCCTTGCTCAGCTGAAGATTTCTGTTTTCTCTCCCCTGTTTTGCTATAGATTCTGTCTTCTTCATTGCCTCTGCTGTTATTAGTGTTTGAGGTGAGAATCTTAAGGACTTTTTCTTGATGAATCTGTGCGAGAGAGAAAGTTCTAATTGAGGACTGAAACTATAAAAATTTTTGTGTGTGTTCTGTTGCTGCCATAACCGAAATATATATATATATATATATGTATTAGTATTGAAGAATGATGGTGGTATATATGGGTCATAATTTTGGAGTTAAATTGATTTTGTTGATTTGGTTAATGTTAAAAAAAATTGAATTTGGAAGAGACAAACTTAGATATATTGTTGGTGCCTATGAGATGTCATTGAAGGGCTTGTATGAGGAAATAAAATTTAACTTCTAAATATTGATGGGAATTATTGGTTTAGGAATTCATCTGTAGATCTGTTAAGGAATTTAATTATGGGCTTGTACGTAGTCATGTGTATATTTGGAGTTTGTTTGATTTTTAGTGAATTGTTAAAGGTTTAAAATTGAAGAGATAGAAGTAATACACCTAAAGTAAGTGGTGCAAAGATTGGGAGAAAACTCCTATTCTAAGAAACTAGAATGGCATGGCTAAAGTTTTATGAAGAAGTTAGAAGAATGAATGATCATACTTGAGCTAACTTTAAATCATAAATTTGGTTTTGAATTTTAGATGGTGATCGATAGAGATTGTGTTATAAATTAAAAAGTTATTAAAATTGTATATGTTTATACTTTATAGGGTGTGTGGAAAAATAAGACCCTGACAAGAATTAAAAGAAGAATACTTTCGGAAAGTGAATAGCATTAGAATTAAAAGTTATATAAAAGTTATTAAAATTATATATGTTTATACTTTAGAACTTCAACGTGTAAGTGAATAGCATTTCTTATAATTATTTATTAAAAATCTTTTATTGAAATATTTCATTTTTATGAATTATGTTAGTTTTAAAATGTTTGAAACAATGATGAAGGATAGTTACATTATGATTTGTGCAATTTTTTTAAGAAATATATTTCTAATGTGATGAAGGCACCTTTTGTTTATTGAATTTCAAAATTTCTTAGTTACATGATTAGTGCAAGTTTATACATTCACTATGATGTATCAATTTGGCAAGTTTCATATATTTGAAGCAATTCATGTGAGTTTGATCTTGAGAATCAAAATTTGATTTTAAAAATAATTATTTCTCTCGCATGTTTGAAATGAGATTTTCAAGAGGACTCTATACAGAACACTACTGCTAACGGCAGTTCCGTTAGCCCATAGCTCGCTGTGGTTAAACACTAGCTAGTTTGTTTCATGAGTTTTATTCTCACATTTGGTATTCGTGGGCTTTATACCCGCGTTTGATTCCGTGGCCTAAGCCGCGTTCGGTTACTTACCCTCTTGAGCTGTGTGTCCACGTTTGTTTCATGGTTTCGACTGCGTTTAGTTACATACCCTCGTGGACTGTGTGTCCACGTTTGTTTCGTAGCTTTGACTACGTTTGGTTACTTACCCTTGTAGACTGGTGTGGCCACATTTATTTTCATGACATAAGCCGCGTTTGGTTATTTACCCTCATGAACTATGTGTCCATGTTTGTAACCTGTTCTATTGAGTTCTCAAAATTTTAAATGTTCATTAATATGTATTTTCAAAATTTACCTGATTTTAACTAGTAATTTGTACCACTTTGAGTTATATGAGAGCAAATTGTTTTCTTTAAGCATGATAACATAAATTGTTTTCAATTTACTCTTATTTTACAAATATGATTATGACATACATGCTTATAAATTTTGGTGGAATTACTTTTAATTATCTGACACCATTATTAGAGATTGTCAATTTAAATTTTAAGAATTTTACTATGAGAATGCTATTCACTGAAAAAATTATTTGGCCTCAGATTGGTTAGCTGATGCCGATCCTACCAACGACCTCAAAATGGCAGAATAGCTACAGTGGGTGAAAGTTTTTGGATTGGTATTGTTTCTTTTAATGTAAATATATAGCTCGTATGTCTTTTTAATTTAAAAGAAAGATTAGATGCTCCACATAGATTGTTGATGGACTTTGTTTTGATTTGTATATTGGTTGCTAGCTGGAAGGAGCTACACTCCTGATTTATACTGTTATCTTAAAAAAATTTGTTGTAGAATTTTTGAGAGATCCTAGTTATAAGGGAGGTTCTGTCGAAATTTCTACAAAAATGTCAACACTTTCTTATGATAATGAGTTTAAAGGAATTATTTTAATTCTCATATAATTTGATTAATTTTGTTCTTTTCTTTTGTAAAATGGAATAAATGGTCATTCTAGGCTTACGAGAATGTGTGAGTGGTTCACACTTGTGCCGGTCACCCTTTATTTATGAGGCGTGACATTATGGCTTATATTATCACTAAAGAAATAAAAAATAAAATTTCTATATTTATCTAAATAAAATTAACCTATGGTTACACGAAACAAACATAGTTAAGGTTGGAGAGGGGTTAATTATTTACCCTCCGTACCTCAAAAATTATTAGTCTGGCATATTTTGATGAAGAATTATCCTAGTCAAATGGAAGAACAAGAAGTAACAGTCTTGTGGGAAAATTATGCTTTCTAAAATCGCATCAAGAATATTTTGTTGCGATGTAAGAGTGTGAGTGATAAATTAAAAAAAATATTTTCTTTTCAATTAATTGTCTAAAAAAAAACTATACTAACCTTCTTAGTATATAGAGCCTCCTTAAATATTATATCCTTAAGCCAAAATTATCAATAATAGGGTGAAAAATATGAAAAATAAGAAAATGAGAAAATATCAACAATCAAATTAAGAACTAATCAAAGTACAAGGAGAAAATTTCGATCGCTAAATGAATGATAAAAACACAAGAAAAAAAATCTAAAAGTAATGTTGACCCTATACATGCCATGGCCATCCTATATTTAAAATCCTTTTGAGTTCAAAACATGCCAAATGTCATGTTAAAATATTCCTTTTATGGTTTAAAATTATACATGTAATTGTATAAGAATGACTGTGAACAAAAAAAAAAAAAAAACGGGAAGGAGGAAGAAGAATAGACTGTGAACACTATTGAAGATCAAGAGACATGGATAAAACCATATCCAACAAAAAGTTGGTTGAAAGAAAAAAAATGTATACTAAATAAAAATAATTATAGGTTGATCAAAAGCTAACCTATCTAATCTTGAGCCTGCTTGTGATTCAAATTAAGCAATCTATGTGCATGCAACAATAAACAAAGAAGGTCAATTTCATCTATCTCTTGCAATTTGAGAGATTCACATTTGTCTTGAAATTGAAGTCACTGTTTCAACAAGAAAGAGTATTTAAAATATTGAGTTCAATAATGCAATGCTATATATTAATTTTAAAACAAATAGTTATAATTATCTGCTCTTAGTAATCTACAATAAACTTGCTTACATTTTATTTAGAACCAATACTATGTTTGGTGGTTTAACCTTTCTGCATATAGATTAAGAAATACACAACTAGTCTCATGATTTAAAAGGTAATGTTAAGCCTTAAACTTCTAAAATGATAGGTAAAAATAAAAACAATTTTTTAAAAAAAGTCACAAAAGAAACGAAGGAAATATTTTTTATAAAAAGAATGTTATAGTACACAAAACTCTCTTATCTTTAAAGTAGCTGCAAAGAAACCCCATCACATTTAAAAGTTTAAAATTAATCTTCTTGACCTTTTATTTTTTTCAACTGTAGATTTCTCTATTGTTAATTTTTAGTTATCTTATTAATTAACATAAGATGTCATGCCATATTAAGAAAAAAACACATGTAACAACTTATGTGACATCTAATGTAAGCTAATAATAGTTTTATAAAAAATTTATCCATATATTTTTATTGTTATTATAACATCTATACTTCCTTTTCAATAAATTTTCTAAGCACTTGGCATTTCCTTTCAACAAATTATCTAAAAAATATAACAACTACAGATTCAAATTTTGGATGAAATGCTTGAATCTCCTCATACGAGGATCTTCAATTGAATATGCATTAAGAAATAAATTATTGAAATTTAATTTGGGAAGTTAATTTTTTAATATAATATTTTTGCTGTAAAAAGTGTAAAATAAAAATAATACATTAACTGTTTGAACTTCAAAACTATTTTAAAAAGGTAAAAGAATAAAATCTTAAGCATCTAATAAATCAAATCTAGATACAACCTTAATTTTGTAATCTATTCAATTGAGGAGATCCAAATGAATGGAGATAGTATTCTGACACTTATCAGTTACCACCTCTTAATAATGAAATCTATGAAAATCAATTTGCTTTTGTACATGCGTGTGAAATTAATACAAATTTATTATAAATATAAACTAAATTAAGGGAAATTAAGTGCCAAGTTTGTATAAGAATCGGAAGCTTAATTTGAGTGTATGAATAATCTGTCTGGTTTTTAAAATTTGACAAAAATCCTCCTAATTAAACTACAAAAGTATATCTTTATATGTAATTCGACGAAACTTTAGAAATCTAGAGGACTTTGGAGGGATTTATTATTTACTCTCCAAACCAAGAAAATGATTAATCTCTTAATTGTCTCAACAAATGATGCTCCTAATCATCTTATAAAAAATCAAAAGAAACAACTTTCTTGTTAAAAAAAAAAATACTTTCTAAGCATGTCACATCATGAATATTTTATTCTAACTTGTAACTCAGCTAATTTTTTTTCTTTATTGAGAAAAATAGAGCAATAAAAATTAAAAAAAAAAAAAAGAAATCTCAATCAACAATGAAAGTTTAGTCTATATTAATAAGGATTTGATATATAATCTATCAGTTTTGAAAAACTGAGAAACTGGACAACAACACCAAAAAGAAGCTAACCTAACACAAGTGATCTTTTCCAAAACAAGTTCTTTTCACTACGTACGCACCCAATAAACGAAAATGCAAGATAGTGTTTAGGGGTCTGTTTGGTTTATGGTCTCATTTTTTATTTTTAAAAATTATTTTATAATATAATTTTTAAAATCATTTTAAAATAAAATAAAATAGAAATTTGTTTGGCTATATCATTTTAAAAACAGTTTTAGAATTAAAAAATGGACTGATGGTTATAGCCAATTAATGATAATGATTAATGACAAAAATTGGTTAAGGTAACTATAATTTTCAATAATTAAATGTAGTGTATTTTAAAAATAAAAAATAAAATAAAAACAATTTAAAGTTGTTTCTTTTTTTAAAATAAAAGTAGTTTTGAAAACAACAAAATAAAAAATACATATCCAAACAAATTTTTAAATTTTTCTATATTCAAAAACAAAAAATAACTTTTAAAAATAGAAAACAAACAGCCCTAAGAGTACTGAATGATTGAACTGATGAAGCAGCAAAGACAAGAACCAAACTTAAGTTCACCTTTGTTTATAAGAAAAATCGATCAAACATATATGCGTTTGATCGGCAGAGAAGTTGTAAAAGAATCAGTAATCTCTTGCAATTTCAGAGAAAAGTAGATATATCTCAGATTTTTTGTTTTGGCCATCCAAATATATATCACAGACTTTAGTTGTGATAATATTTGATGTACTCCGAAGGAAAATAATTGACTAGAATTATTATTATTTATATTACATGGAATTTGGAGAATGCTTGATTTAATTATTATTATAAAATACTTTTAACTACTTCGTTTCACTGAATAGCAGTTAATTTAACATTAAATATAAAATAAAAATTTGTTTAACTTTAATCCTATTAATAATAAAAAAGAGAGAGTTACACAGTAAACAATAAAGTATAACATTAAATTTATATTAAGAATAAAATTAAAAAATAATAATAAATAACACTCCATATATTTTATATGTATAAAAATTAAAAAATATTTTTAGAAAGTATTTTATAACGGGGAGTTGAGGGAGTAGTGGAGTATATTGATATTAATTGATGATCATTTTTAAACATTTATAATATTTAAAAGATCATAATAATTTTAAAAAAAACATATAAACGCCACAATAATTTTGAGATATACTAATAATAATTTAAGTTTTCTTCTTCAAAATTAACTTTTTTAAAAAAAAAATATAATTTTAAATCCTTACACTTTACTTAAATTTTATTAAAAAACCAGTTTCCAAATTATGATCACTAAATTAATATTTTTATTTCTCAAATCATCAAAATAACTTTAATTTTTTTACCTTAATTTTTTACGTAGAAAAACGATATATATATTTATTTATTTATAGTATTCTGTTTTTAAATATAAAAATATTATATATAATTTATATTATATATATATATTATTTTAAACCGGATGAAGTACATCGATCACGACTAAAATCTGGCCAAAAAAGACAGTGCGAGATATCTATTTTAGACATTTTTATTTCTCAAATCATCAAAATAACTGTAAGTTTTTTACCTTCATTTTTTACTTGGAAAAACGATATGTATAAATACACACACATCTAATATTCTCTATGATCCCTATTATTATAAGCTGTTTTTAATTACTTCACTTGAATTAAGAAATGATTATTAACTCATTAAATATATTTTAAAATAATTTTTTTAATTTACTCTTATTAAAAATAAAAAAAAAGATATACAATATATGATGAATCCTAAAATCAAACTTACTAAATGGATAAAATTTAAAAATATAATAAATAATTTTTCGTGTGTCTAATTTAAAGATCAAAGCTTTCCAAAATGTGTCATTTAATAATATAAACAAGAAGGAGTGCATATTGTCAGCAATCACTTTTTTGTCTTCCCTCTTTTTCTGATTTCATTCACGTACAAGTGTCAGTACGTTTATTTGCGTTTGATTTGGAACACTTTCATTGGAGAGACTGTAAATGAGTTGGTCCCACGGCACAGAACAAGTGAGTAGACCAAGACTTTTAAAAGAAGCAATAAATGAATAAAAATAATAAAAAAAACATAATTTTGTTCAAATTTTATTATATGTTTTTATATTTTTTATCAATATTTTAAAGTGTTTTACTTTTATTTGTTAACATTTTAAATTCCTATAACATCATTATAGAAAAATTTAAAATATTAAAATAATAAAAATATAAAAATTAAAATATTAAAAAAATATAAAAATTTATTTTTTAAAAAAAAAAACCTCTCTATCACAAATTTTCCTCTTTACCTCTCATCATGTAACATCTCAAATTTTTAATCATCAAACTAATAAGGATTTAGTTAAGTTTAATTATGATAATTGAGTAAATTGACATGATATGTGGCCAGGGAGGTTTAATAATTGATTTTGGTTGTGTTTCAACCCTAATTATAGGTCAGAAGTGAAGATAAGTCACCCAGGCATCAAAAAAAGCAGAAAATGTGAAGGAAGTGTGTTTATGCCATATGTCATGGTGTGAAATACGTCCACCGTAACGCATAGACAACAACTAAAGCAAGAGGGAACCTCTCTATGCCATGCTCTCACGTCGCAGCGCCATAGTGCACAACCCTATTTTTGCAAAATATTAGTCGCAAAATTGAAAAAGAAAATGAAAGAAAAAGAAGGAGGAAATAAAGGACCAGCAAAGAGCTCTACTATGGTTCATAATTTGATGGTGTTTGGAGTATTTTGAAGCTAGAAACACTTAAGGTAAGTGTAGCTAAACTCCATTTCTCCCTATCTCTTCCACATTAATGAAGTGTTTGATTAGAGTTTGATAATGTAAGATGTTTTTTGATTTATATAGAGTTGATGTGAGTTGATTTGAGTATTTAACCTTAGAAATAATGAGTTTCAATACCTTGATTGGTGGACTTCATAAATATATGAAATTAGGTACTTATGAGGGCTGTTGGATGAGTTGTAATGCCAATAATAGGAGTTTAATAGTTCATTGATATTATTGAGGATTAAAGAGAGTTAATAAACCTAATGAGTAAGCCCAAAGGTAAAAATTAAGGATGTTGGGTGTTGTAGAAGTAGAGAATGAGAGTTGAAAATGTGTGTTTGACAATGTTAATAAGTTTAGTATTGGTTAATTGTAGATTGAGCTCTTGGACACCATTTTAGCTTAGGAAAGTCAATTTTAAAAGCTTAATATTGAGAGGTAAACCTTTGCTTTCTCAAATATTTGAGGTCACTGAGGGAATTCTATTTTATATAGTTATTTATTAATTATGATTTTAATGTAAACTGTGCATGTTTACATGTATGATTAAATTATGAATGTGGAAGCATGCTTTAG